ATATATATATATATATATATATAATAAATAAATAAAAATTAATAAAATAAAATTTAATTTAATTTAATTTAATTTTTAAAAAATAAAATAAAAAACACACAGCAAATGAAATACAAATAAATACAATACAAATAAACAGATGTTATTAATGCCTAAATAAATATACCAGAGTAATTAAACAATTTACATCTTAAATTAGAATAAAACTGACATACATTTAGACAAGAGTCAACTATATAATTAAGGCAGATTTGAACAGAAAGGCTGAGCCTTTTTCCTCAGGGAAAATATTTTTCATAAATGTCGGGTTAGGGAAATTTCTCACATGTGTTTTATATGTGTTTTTTTTATATATATTTTATATTCATTAACACCACATTTATTAAATGCAGTTTCTGAAAGCCAAAACAATGATCTAAGTTCATTATTGCTGTTCCATGATTTTTATTTCATGTTTAAATTGTGCTATAATGCCATTAAAACCATTAAACACTTTAAACACAAATAAGTTGTGGAAAATAAATAAGTTGTTTAAACACAAACAAGTTATAATTTTTCATACAATAAGGTCCCATTATTTTATGTCAATGCATTTAATAATATTAACAAAAAATAGCAGTTAGATTGTAGTAATTGTTACAGTGTTTAATAGTCTTAGAACTAGTTAATAAAAATGTAAGTATTCATTGTTAATGTTAGCTCAGGTCCGATAGATATTCATATTAAAACATATGATAAAAGATTCAAGATAAAAGATATTTTATACAAATAAAAAAAAATATTAAAAGATATAACTTTTGATTTTATTAATTTATTAGTAAATGTTTAAACTAAGATCCACTAAGATTAATAAATACTTTATGAGTATTTGGTATTGCTAGATCATGTTAACTAATGCAGTTAAGTAATGTTAACAAATGAAAGCTTATTGTAAAGTGTTAGCAGCTGTTCTTCTCAGCTGTCAATCAAACAGCAGGTTCCTACTGTGACAACTTGCCCCTATAGGCTCAACAAGTGTTAAATGACTGGTATTAGTATTATTATTATTATTATTAATAGGTCAAAAAAGGAGGGAATGTTTAAGCGTTTAAGTGTTTTTGTTATGAGGTTTAGGAGCATTCAGGGTGATGCGGTGTAGTGTTTGTGAGCCTGTGATCTCGTATCCTCCACAGCACCTCCAGGTAGGGCACTCCCTTCTCCAGGGACTGGCCGAACTCTCGAAGCAAGCGCTCCTCCTCCAGGAACTTGGCATCTCGTCCGTCTCCAGCTGGCTGGAAGAGGCCGTAATTGTAAACATCCCACAACGACTCGCTGAGAGAACAAATAATCTGCTGCTTCGCGCTCCAAACGCTTGAATCGGGATCAAACCGCAAACACTTCTACAGACGGAGAGAGAGAAAACCGGTTCGTGAGAACAACAGATTGAACTGGATTTCAAGTTCAAAATAACTTTCAGCTTTATTGACGGCATCTGTGATGTGTCGTCGTTCACCACTGAGCTTCATTTGGACTCATAACTCATAAAAGTCCTGTTTACAGTAATCTATTTACAGTAGATGTCTACTGAAAAGACATTCTGGAGGTTTACAAGCAGAAACCTGCAACCTCTATATCTGCATGCAACATTTTCATTGTAAATGCATTTTTTTTTTAAACTATAAATCCATATTTTGTTACATGACACTAAATAAACTAAATAAACGTTAACTGAATTAAATAAAATATGAAAAACTATTTTAGCTAGTTGCCAAAGCAACATTTCTTATTTTCATATAGTTAGCAACTATTTAAACACACTAAAACTAATTTTTTTAAAAATCTGTAAAATAAAATTTTTAAATTATAAAATATTTCAATATTTAGTAATATTTCAATATTTTGTAACATTTAAAAAACAAAAAAAATGACTTTAGCTAAAAAAAACTTTAGCTAAAATTAAAGTGAAAACAGAAAATATAAGAAATAAGAAATATAATAATAAGAAAATACAATATTCAAAATATTAACAAACTATAATAGAATATCAAAGATACTAAAAATAAATATTAATTATTAATACAATTGAATATTAAATATTATAATAATTAATATTATTAAAATGACACAAACCCACTGTAAACATATTCGCAATATGTTGCAATAATTGTCTTTGATAAAAAAAAAATGCATTAATATGAAATATTATATTTAAAATTATTAAAATGACACTGAAACCCATTTCTGTAAATATATTTGCATTTTCTGTGGTGAACAACAACATGTCAAAGATTATATTGAACCTGAAACATTTTGTATGTTTAAAATATTAATGACACACCTGTTGAATATGTACATAATACAGCACATTTCTGTGTCGTTTGCATTGGAACTTAATCAATCACTTTTACAAGCCCTTTCAAAAGTTTTAAAACAGGCTACTGAAAACCATAAACCATCCTGCATATTAAAATCCATCACCAAACTTCATCATATGCAGCTTTATCTGGGGATTGTTAATGTGCCGCGATTGAGCGTGTTAAAGTGAGCTGCTAATTGAGTCAGGAGTTGAGATGAGTTTAGATGAGAGCGATCTTGACGTTAAATCAGGTCAGAGCTCCCACACAAATCACCAGAAGAACTCAAGCTCAGTGTGTGTGTGTGTGTGTTTATTTCAAATTTCCCCAGAATAGCTTCACACACACACTAATATACAAACGCAGTAAATATTCCTTCATTACGGATTCCCATGTTCCCCTTTTCTCCCCCTGAATTAATTTATTTTTTAATTTTCTTCTAATGTCTCGATCCCTCCCACGATAACCTTGGGAGACACAACAGATCCAGAGTATATTAAAGTTTGTGTGTATGTGTTTCTTTAAAGATTTCAGAAGCTCATTAGAAACATTTACTGTTGTACAGTGTGTGTGTTTAGGAATGACGCGTGAGCATCAGATGGAGCATCAGATGTTTGCATATATATTGAGATATCTGACATTTTCGATTACAGACTTTGGTGTTTTGGCAAATGTGAGCACAGTCTGAGACATTATTGAGATCTCGTCTGAAAATCTAGAGGAGACACGTGAGACTCTAGGAATCGTTTTGGCATGAGAAACATCTAAGAAGCAGAGGACTTAAGCAAAAGTCTCCATTCGCTCTTCATGTCATCAGAATGCTGTGAAGGATAATTAGAGACTGACCAATATTGTACAATACTAAGTGCCAAATCAGCAATATGTAGAAAAGATGTGACATTATTTCTTCGTAATATTATTCATGACTATTTTTAGTTCATTTATTTGACACAATAACTAAAAAAATCACTACAAAATAAATGAAAAATAAATTATTCATTATAAATAATAACAATAATAATATAACCAGTTTAAATTATTTTATTTCTATATATTTGACATAATAACCAAAAAACTACTATAAAAATAAAATATTAAGAATTATTATTAATTATTAATATGTCCAATTTAAATTATTTTATTTATACTAATTTAACAACAATAACTAAAAACATTGAATGACAACTAAATATTATTAATATTAATAATAATAATAATAGAACCTGTTTTAAAGGATTTTATTTGTATTTTTTTAATAAACAATAAAACCGATAAAAAATACAAAATTACACCACAAATACGAAAACAAAAATATTATTAATGAATAATAATAATAATAATAATAATAGAATATATTCTAAATTATTATTTTATTTTTATTTATTTGACAATTATAAAAATCTACAAATATAAAAATAAAATAGAAATTATGAATAGTTATTTATATTTATTTCAATAAACAATAAAACAACAAAAAAATAAAAATTACACTACAAATACAAAAATAAATAATAATAATAATAATATAATCAATTTTAAATTGTTATTTCTATTTATTTGACACAATTATTATAAAAAAATAATATTAATTTATAAAATAAAATAAATTTATAATAATAATGATATTATGGTGCCATATTATTGTCATTGATAGAAGTAAAATTATTATTGGTAAACGCAAATATCTGTACCACATCTGTAGCTGCAAAATTAAAGAAGTGATGGAGTAGAGAATTTGTCAAAATGATAATCGGCCAACCGTTAGCACACATTGTGAGTGCATGTGAATGTGTGTGAAGAGAAATGCGCAGACCGTTTGTTTGATGTCAGGGATGCCGATGCGGAACACAATCACGGCGAATTGCGAGTCTTCCACAGGGGTCACTGTGGTCATGCTGCGCTCCATCAGACGCCGCCGGGCCTGCTGATTGGTCAAGACCGGATGATACAGCGGCTGATTGGTTGTCTGATGATATAGAGTCGGCTGACTGAGTAAATGCGGGATTCCTCTTTGGGCAGAGTTAACGGCCCTGGGCTGCCTATCTCCTCTCTGCCATCCAATCACAACGGCCGCCGGTTTGGATCCATCCGACTTGCGTCCGGCCCGGTTCTGGTGTTCCTTGTCTCCCATACCGATCATCCCATTTTGTTTCAATCTCTTCAATCGCTCCTCATCATCCTCCTCATCCTCTCCCTCTTTGTCTTCGGCGCTGCCAAAAAAACGCTTGGTGTTTCCCAGCATCCTTTGCTGCACCGTGTCAGCAAGCAGTGTTGATGTCATGGCGCTGAGTCATGCTGCTTATTGGCATACAGCTTAATGTTAAACAGACTGAAAAAGAAAAGAAACATAAAATAATCAGTGCAATGCAATGCATTTCATTTTACTGATATCAAAATAAATTCCAATTCCATAAACAGTCATTATAAAGGCACACCTATAGAAACCAGAAAATATTTTGACTTGGACCAGTAAGAAACCACAGCAATGCACTAACAACAACTCAAAACACCCTGGCAACGCAATAACCATTCAAACACCATAGCAACGCACTGACAACCATTAAGAACACCCTAGCAACACACTAACAACCACCCAGAACACCCTAGCAATGCACTAACAACCACTCAACACCCTAGAAACACCCTAACAACCACTCAATCACCCTAGAAACACCCTAACAACCACTCAATCACCCTAGATACACCCTAACAACCACTCAATCACCCTAGAAACATCCTAACAATCACTCAACACCCTAGCAACGCACTAACAACCACTCAACCCCTAGAAACACCCTAACAACCACACAATCACCCTAGAAACACCTTAACCACTCAACACCCTAGCAATGCACTAACAAACACTCAACACCCTAGAAAGACCCTAACAACCACTCAATCACCCTATAAACATCCTAACAACCACTTAACAACCTAGCAACGCACTAACAACCACTCAGAACACCCTAGCAATGCTCTAGCAACCACTCAGAACACCCTAGCAACACACTAACAACCACTCAGAACACCTTAGCAACACACTAACAACCACTCAGAACACCGTAGCAACACACTAACAAGCACTCAGAACACACTAGCAACACACTAACGATTCAAACACCCTAGCAACACACTAACAACCACTCACAAACCCTAGCAACGCACTAACAACAACTCAACGCCCTAGTAAAGCACTAACATCCACTCAGAACACCATAGCAACACGCTAACAACCACTCAGAAAACCCTAGCAACAATCTAACCATTCAAACACCATAGCACGACACTAACAACCACTCAATCACCCTAAGAACATACTAACAACCACTCAGAACACCCTAGCAACACACTAACAACAACTCAAACACCCTAGCAACACACTAACAACCATTCAAACACCCTAGCAACACACTAACAACAACTCAACACCCAAGTAAAGCACTAACAACCACTCAGAACACCCTAGCAATGTACTAACCACTTAATCACCCTATAAACACCCTAACAACCACTCAATCACCCTAACAGCACACTAACAACCGTGGGCAACATTTGACTCTTGAGTCAGGAGTGGGGCAAGAAAAAAAAAGCAAAATATTTTTCGGATGTATGCATCAAAACAATTCCCTAACACGCATCAAAGCAGTCAATACAGCGCAGTCAAGAATAACTTAAAGAGGTTGCCTGCGTTTACTAAACTGGAGCTTTGACTCTTGTTGCTGATTTGAATGGTGATGCTTCCTGTTTTAAGTGGCCTTTCATTTTTAACCAGAAATGTGCACGCTTTTCTGATGTTCATTTAAGTTTTTTGTGTCTTTTTCCCCTGTCACTTGAAATGTGTCCGTTTTGAATCGTTGTTACTAAAGGTAAGACACGTGAAGGGAAAAAAAACTATTAGATGTGGGACTATTCTGTCATTAATTGCATACAATTCATTTCTGAACTTTCTACCATCCGTTACTGGAAATGAAATTACTGGTTGATATACGCAAAGCGCGCTCTCATTATTATCACTAAAAGCATCACTCATCTTAGTTCATTGCGATCTCACAAAATTCCGTTATAATCAATGAAGCTCACTCATCTTAATTGCGATCTCACAAAATTCCGTTATAATCAATGAAGCTCTCTAAACTACACAATGAATCTCTTATTTACATCACGTCTGCACTTATGAGATGATTCATGAGCGTGCAAAACTCCGGCGTTTCAGCGGTGAGTGAATTCTGAAAACTCTAATATTTCTGATTGGCCATTGCGTTGAAGAAACCAACAGATATGTCTGTGATTGGCTACATTGCTCAATGCTGCAAAAAACACATTGGATAGTTTGACAGATCTTTTATTTCTTGTGCGTTCGTTTTAAGGTATTTAGAGCCGTCTAGTTCCCCTGTACAACCGGGCCTGTGCTCGGCTAACCGCTCCAATTGCAGCGGGGCTGACATCGGGGATTCCATGACTAACGATATGGGAGGGCAATTGCCCCCCTTGCCCCCCCCTAATGTCACCCATGCTAACAACAACTCAACACCCTAGTAAAGCACTAACAACCACTCAGAATACCCTAGCAATGCACTGACAACCACTCAACACCTTAGTAAAGCACTAATACCAACTCAACACCCTAGCCAGCGGACTAACAGCCACTTAGAAAACATGGCAAAGAACTAACAACCACTCAGAACACTTTGGTAAATGCATAGCAACACCCTGGTAACAACACTGCAAGTCCTTAAACAATAACAGCACGTTTTAGTCAGAAAAGGCTTCAGAAACCTTTCATTTAATAAAGATCTGCAAGCTAAGACAGTGTGTGGGGCTTTTCCCACAATTTATTTCTAAAAAGAACAAACTCCTGCCGTTTCTCCAGGGCACACAGACTGGATTCAATTTGCGTAAGACTGAGAGTTGAATTTAGGCTAAATTGCAGAGCGATTTAGTTGTTCTCTGTGTATCTCTATGTGCTGGTGGCGTCCATATGCATCTCCAAGATGATCTCACTGTTCTTAGCTTGCTACTGTTAAAGCGTCACCAAACATTTGTAAGCCTGAAAAGACATAAAACCAAAATAAACAGCTGCAGACACCTTTATGCTACAGGGATAATTATGGTTCTCTTTTGAAACAAAAATATTTAAAATTGCAATGTGAATTGTCAAAATATTGGAGAGTGTTATTTCTCCGCCCCTCCTCCTCAGACTCCACATTCATGCGGGTTGCCAGATTGAGAACATGCAACAGGAACAAGCACAATTGATGGGCAACAAGCCTTACATTGTAAGTTGATGAGTTGATTTATCCATGTTTTAATATTCCTCTGGTCATAGAGTTTTTTTTAGATGGATGCAGAGGTTTTTAGGTCGGGTAGAATCTCTGACGCAGTTCATCAGCTGGCTTTCATGGCTGCTGTGTTTTCCACCAACTGGCAACCCATGGTATTGAAAAACTATTGGGTAAATTGCCAGTGGGCAGAGTCACACAGACCAAAATAAAAACAGACATTCTGACACGGAACACACATTTCAAAGCAGAATAACTGGTTGTAGAATCTTAGAATGTTTCCTAAATACCTGCATACGTATTATGGGACTTTTATGCTTTAGTACAGTCAAAGAAATACTGGATATTTGAGAAAATTTCTTAACATTGAGCATGTGTGATTGAAGTGCTATACAAATAAATTAACTTGACTTGCAGATTGCATCGGTTGCATTGAGCGTGTGATTTGGGTCACTCTCCTGTAGCTTTGTGAAGCATCAGCCCACTGCATTTCTGCTGATTATATTGTTGTTTAATTGCACACAAGAGAGACACTGACTCATTGGATTTATTTATCCAATTTATCCACATGCACCCGATATCTGCACCTCTCCCTCGATGCCTGTCATCTGTACAATAAATACTGTAAAGAGACACTGACGTCAGTGATGTTCACATTTAGAAAGTGTCCTGTAAACCTCCAGAGATCTCCGTCACCTCATTACTGACGGCTCGTGGTGACAGATTCACCCCTTCACAGCTTTAGATGGTTATTTACCTTAAATATCACAACCTGTTTTGTGGTTCATTAAGTGCACATTCACCCAATGCAAATACTGAAAAAGTTACAATGATTATTGGAATACTATTTTTGTTTCTACATTTCTATGCTTTAATTATAATTTGGGGTTTTAATAATTTAGTTTTGGATCTTTGGATGACATATTACCCAAATAATAAGTTTAATATTATAATATTATCAAAAAAAATGTAAAATTATTATTGTTAACAAAATGATCCAAATAATATTATCTAAATAATAAGACATATTTTGGACGATACAAAGATTTTTGGATCTTTATATTATGGATTTTATATATATATCTCTGTATTCAAATTCAGCACATTCTTCACTCTTTGAAATGCCAGAAACTAGGGATGCACCGATACCGATACTGGTATCGGTATCGGGCCCGATACTGAGCTCCTGTACTCGTACTTGTTAAAATGCCCCGATACCAAACGCCGATACCGCACAGCATGTGATAAGTGCCATATTCAAACAAAGAAACACCGACAACAGACAGCAGAAAGGAGTTAAGGATGTCTACTACAAAGTATATGTATGCAATGAATATAACGTTAAACATTCAGTATTAACACCTGTATAGTTGATGTGCGCGAGTTGATAAACAAAGCAAGCTGAGTGGATTGAGCGCGCGGCGGCGCAAATGCGCGAGCTTGTCGAGTGAATATATCTTTCTCACAGACATCACTGGAAAGTTTGTAGTTCAGTCGGATATGTCAAAAACAAGTAAGTAAAACAATGCACAAGTTACTTAACGGTAGGGAGAGAGAGAGACAGAGAGAGCGCGCAATTCTGTTGTGTGATCTTTGATGTCCACTCACTTAGCACACATCATTTGGACTAAACCGCTGTCATAGCTGTCTAATTTTTGGTTGATTGTAATCTATTACATACCTTTCTATCAGAATTATCTAGCATTATCAAGATGAATTTGTTCTGACACAGTTTAACTCTGAGTTCTTGTCATATTTTATTACCATTTTCTAAACTATAGCGAATAAACTGTGATAATGTGAGAAATGTTGAAGGTGTCTGAATACATTTTGGTTTGACTGTATCTATTTGATAAATGAAGTTAACCAACTAACATTATACATACTCTTTTAGTTTCTATACCCAATATTTAAAAAATGTACAAATGCAATAAAAATATCGGTATCGGTACTCGGTATCGGCAAGTACCAAAAATAAAAGTATCGGTATCGGGCGAGTACTGGAAAAAGTGGTATCGGTGCATCCCTACCAGAAACGTAAATTATGCTGTAGTGGTTCCTGTGATCGGTTTATACAGAAAACACTGCAAAATAAGTGATAAATACAGAATATTTCACTGATATAGCCAAGTAAAAAATACAGTTCTGTACATCTAGTTTACCTGCTTTAAACAAAACTCTGAATATCATTCAAAGATCTGATGACTCTAACCTGGTAAACTTTGGTAAATCCAGTGACTATTCATCTGGAAAAGCACCCGCTGAATCAACCCAGTACCTTGTAAACACAATTTTGTTTCCAGATGGACTGATAAAAACCCTTTGATGAATAAAAAATAACAATCAGATTGCTAAAGCAAGTGTTTCCCCATTTTAAGTGTGAAATATGCATCGGACGGTCAGAGAGAGACTGTGTGGTGTCTGATGTTCAGACTAATATATCAACTCTTTAAAACAGGCTGTTAGTAAACTTGACTGGTTAAACTGGTGCCAATTCAAGAGTGAAGCAGGCCAGCGAGACACAGATGGTCTCCTTCATAAACTCTCCAAATCAATTGCTCACTCCATCTATAAAAATACAGCGATGTCAAAATTAAGCTCCAAATCAAGAGTTTCTGGAGTTAATCAGGGTCAGCCACTGAAAACATAGTGATGTCTCACTGGTTAAGTTAGTTAAGTAGTCTGGTGGAAACACCAACACACCAGAGTTAATCGTGTAAAGAGAATTTTCCTAAATATATGCAGATTGAATATTACAATTTTTGTAAAAATCTACTGTATATCTTTATATAATCATTTTAAATAATAACTAAATCATTAAATTTTTATTTTAAATATTAGTTAGTAATTAAATGTCAGCAGTTCCATATGTGTAGATAGATTTTTCCATAAAGGTAGCATTTTGACCAGAACGTGACAAAATATTGCATAAATTTGTTGTCAAAAACACAAAAAAAAAAAAAATGAACACTACCACAGCATCCAAAACACAACGTGTGCCGGACACTGCAGAAGTGTTTGCATGCATGTATAAATCCAGCCGTGCTTTGTTATATTGAACTATTTAGCGCTTTGTATAAAGTTTGTTGAAAATTCTCCAACCATAAATGACATGTAAGAAGACACGTCAGCCACATGCATGAATCCCCTCATATTCAGCAGCTAATAAAACCAGACCAATGAGGAAGCAGAGAAGTGTTTCTCGCTCGCCTGATTAGCTCTCCGCTGTATAATTGGCAGTTGACTGGGGCAGGTGGGGAAAAATAGAGCACTGGCCTCATTTCGCTCTCAAGAGACGATTCAGAGAGAGTAACGCAGGCGCCACACAGAAACCAGCAGCCCAAGGACAAAGCAGGAAGAGCTGTGATACGAGACCAGGCCACGAAAACGGCAAAGAGACCGCAGAAACGGGTGTTTGAGGACACCGGACACAAGACGAGGCCTGTCAAACAATACTACACCGCAGAGAAACACATGCGAGTTAGTCAGTAGTCCAACAGAACCAGTATTGGGTGGCATACATAACTAAATACAGCACTTTTTCCGTGTGTGTTTTGTCCAAGCGTCCATTCAGCTCGCTCGCTCCCTTTTTTTGTGAGAAGAAACCCTTTTACACACATCTCCTGTTGTATTGTACTTCATTCGCTCACATACATAGCGCGCCGCCCCCTCCTATGTAGGACAGGGTGAATATAGATATATTTCCAGTGAATTGGTCCCCAGAAACTTTAATTGGAGAACTTCCACGGAACAGACTGTCCCACTTTTATAACCCGTTAAAAAGAAGTGGAGCAAGCAGGTCCGGCATCGGTCCCTTCATGTCTCTCACTCTCTTTGTGTCTCTCGCCAGCCTTCGCAGTTCGCACCATTAGAAAAGAATGACAGCGCAGATAACGAACAATTAAACCGAGTGTCGGTGGTCTTTTCTGCACTCTTTCCCTGGAGCTCAGAGTGAGATTGGGCTCTTGAGAAAAGCACAAAAGCACTTTCTATTTGCATTTCACACCTGCTGACAGAGATCATGAATGGTGCTTATCATTGTGAAAAGAGATCAATCGTACACAAGATTTGTGAATTGCTCAAACGTTCATTCGAATGCAGTAATGACATGATTTACAAGAACAGTACCAAACAACCCAACAATATACAGTACTGTTCAAACGTTTAGGATCGGATCTATTCATTTCTGGAAAGAAGTTTCGTCTGCTCACTTTTTGATCAAAAAATGCAGTAAAAACAGGAATATTGTGAAATATTATTAGAATTTAAAACAGCTGTTTTCCATATGAACATGTTTTAAAATTTAATTTATTCCTGTGATCAAAGCTGAATTTTCAGCATCATTACTCCAGTCTTCAGTGTCACATGATCTTCAGAAATCATTCTAATATGCTGATTTGCTGATCAAGAAACATGTCTGATTATTTTCAATGTTGAAAACAGTTGTGCTGCTTCATATGTTTGCAGAAACTGATACATTTAAGTTCAAAAGAACAGAACTGATTTGAAATAGAAATCTTTTGTAACATTACAAATGCCTTAAATATCAATTTAATGCTTCGTTTATTTTCAAAAGAATCTTTCTGACCCTAAACTTTTGCTCCACAATGCTAGGATGCTACTGTTTTGATTGGTTACTAGACTGGATGGTTGCAAATTCTCTAGATTTGGTTAAAGTCTCTTCTTCAGTTAGGTCTGTGGAACTTCTTCACTAATTTAATCATAAGTCTAATCACCTTTTAAAGCACACCTCTGTTTGTTTAAAAAGCCAAACATTAATAATAAACCATGTCACATTCAGGAACAGCCCCTTACAGAGCTACATGATCAACCATCCTCTTACGTCCAGTAATTTAGTGTGGAACACCTCCTGCTGCTATTATGAAAGCCACATAAACGGTGAAAACAATACAGATGCACGGACGCTTTTCAGAAAAATACAGATGCGTGTTACAAGATTTATCAACATGAAGAGAAAAGGCACTAAGGACACCGGTGACCAGTGTTGCTAAAATGATCACACCACGTTGTCCTACAAAAGCCACACTAGGGCATGTGAAGCTGATAGATCTGCTGCGGTGAACAAATGGAGGAAACTCAGCTGATCATAAATAAACTGAAGGGTGGAGGATCAAAACCGAACCACTTGCTTGAATACTAATGCACAATCAACATGTTCTGTATTTTTGAGGATAATCAAGAAAAGGGTTTTTCATAGATTGTTTAACCTTGGGATCTTTTATAGTAAAAGGCCACGTTCAGCTCAGGGTTATGAAACTCTGATTCAGAGCTAGTTAGTTGTGCTTTTGTGGTGCCAAAGGTGAAGAGTGTGACTCAATGCGTTGCTATGTGTTTTTCAGCAACACACAACCAATGATACACCATTACCGCTTACTGCCTCAATGCTTATTCCATTAAATATTCATGCACTGTTTAGTTTCAAACATAATACAGTATGCATTTCCTACTAGTTTTTGTAATACACTTTAAAGGACTAAATTAGAGTGGATTTACATAGCAAAATGTAAACTACTAAAACAACTATTGCATGATTGTTACATGCTTAATTGTTCAATCAATGTTAATAAACATCCTACATATGCAAAAAAAAAATAACTAGTGTTAAATATCAAAACTGGCAATTAATTGCTAATCCAGATTAAAGTATGAACAGCGTGGAACTGGTACAAGATAACTCAGAGTGACGTTAACACAGGAAATCACGCGTGACCAGCCCAAATAATCAGCAGAAGCTTTAGAGAAGGAACTAAACGAGGAGGAAACCCACAGCCGTGACCTCGTTTGACAACACATTGGAGGTCAGCGCTCTAGAAGAGAGGAGGAGTACGAGAGAAAACTAGGACGAGGAGAGACAGAACGCAAATGATGCTGGGAAAGAGCTCAGGACACCAGAATGAGAGTAAGTGCTGGAGGACAAAAAAACACACACACACACACACACACACACACACACAAGACCAGAGAAGCTCCACTAAAACACAACAATCAGTCTGTCCATGACTCCTAAACGTCACAGACTGACCCATGCTGCTCTCGGATGGATGGATGGATGGAACGACAGACAGACATACTGACAGACAGAACCAAAAATAGAAAAGAACAATAAAATGAGATAGATAGATAGATAGATAGATAGATAGAAAACCAAAGCATCACATGACCACCAAACTTCAAAGCATACTGACTAATAATGATCTCAGATCCACAGCTCTGAAAAACCATTCACCTTTCTGCACTGCTTTTCAGCTTCAACCTTTGCTTTTGGTTACAAAATGTCATTCATGTAAATCTGGCACAAATATGAGCATAAGTTTAAATATTTACACTCATGCATTTGGCAGATGCTTTTATCCAAAGCGACATTGCATTTGAGGTATATGTTTTATCAGTTCATATGTTTATCATGCGCACAGCACACATCTATTCAAGAAAACACATCATACACAGTTTAAGTTCACACTGCAAAAAGCGCAGTAAAATCGAACGACAAATTGAGCTCAAACTGTTCACACACACACATATGAACGGTTCACACTTTCTCTATACAGACTTTCTACATTAGTGTTAGAGTGTATAATTATGCTCTCTGTGAGCTCTGACCTATCTTTTCTCTCAGCAGGCCCATCACACCAGGAAAACGGCGCGCACACACACACACTTACTCACCCACTCACTATCAGCACAATTTACAGCAAAACACACACTGAAGTCAAAAGCGCTGCATATGCAACTACTGCAGTTCACAGTCCTGCTAACGCACACCAGCACAACTGCAACACTTTCCCAAAAGTCATCTTTCAAGCATCCCAGGGGTCACATGCATGCAATAGTTTCTATTATATCTTATAGGATGCACTATCCAACTGGGAATTACCTGATTGTCCAGCCTGAGCTTCCTCATTCCAGCACAGAAGAGCCACTTCGCTCCAGAGATGTGGTCAGCAGGGCAGAACAGGATCCAGAGAGGCACAACCAAAGCAAACAGTCACAAAAATGAGAATAAGCGTGTTTTCCCGCACACATCCAGGCGTTACGTCCACGCAGGATCACCTCCAGCACTGGAACAATCTCTCTTCTGATCTCTCCCGCTATCATGCACTCAAACACTCCTCCCTCCAGCCTCGCTCTCCACACACATACACACACACGCGGTCTCTCGGATGCTAAGAGCAGATCAAACTGGCTCGCATCTGAGGCTTGGGTTTCATCCTGATCTTCTGTGGCTTTGTGGGAAGAAGTCATCTGTTATGCTTGGAAACCACCGAATCCCACAGAGGAAAACATAAATGTTTCACATGTATAATGCAGGACATCCATGCATATGTGTGTTTGAGTGTGTGTGTGTGTGTGTGTGTGTGTGCATGTAGAAAAATATCTTCACACACACACACTCTCTTAAAGAGAAGTGGGTCATGGATGGACAAATGAGAGGAGAAATTAGCCTGCCTGCGTGTGCTCATGTGACGTGCTGGGGTGAAGTAGAGAAATCATCACCTGTCCTCATCACGCTGAGGTTATCGCCGTCTCTCACACACAAGGTTTGTACCAGGACACTGACAACAAACACTTAAGATACACCTATAAGACACAAAGTGGTAAGAGAGAATGACTGGCCTTCACCAGATAAAGACGGAACAGATGAAGATAGGACACTTACAGTACATTGCCTGCTTTACAAGAGTCTGTCTGTGGTTTGAAATCAGGCCTGTTTGGGAATTCTTCCTTATTAGTGTTGTTTGATTAGTTAAGCATCACTATTACTAGTACTCATGCTCATGGTGATGTGATGAAACCTCTAAAACTACTAACTAATGTATTAAAGTCACAGAGTTCGTGCTCCATCCAGTGTAATTTAGTATTGTTTTATACAATATTATTGTATTCATTGACATTATAAATTAGCTTTTATCTTTATATTTTCATATTTAAATGTAATTTGTTTTTTATTTTAATTAGGGTTTAAGTTTTATCAATTTATATGACATGAGTTATTTATATTATATATATACTGTATATATATATATATATATATATATAATATACTGTATGGCTTATAAAGCAATTCAGCTGTCACTTTTTATCTTCAATATTTTCAATAATTGCTTGCTAACTGAGGCAGTTCAGTTGTTTTTTTTTTTGTTTGTTTATCTTTTTTCTTTCTGTTTGTTAAAAAAGCAAACCATAGATAAAAAACAAATAAAATATTAAAAAATCCAAATTTTTAAATAGTATAAATTATTTTAATTTTAGCACTTCAACTTATAGTAAACTTATTTACTCACCAAGACAACATTTCAAATTATTTTGTTTTTTAAGCTTAAGTTTTTCATTTAATGTTTTATTTTATTTCAGAATTATTATAGAATAAATTATCAACAAAACTGCATGAAACGATGTAAATGAACACTTTACACACTTTACAAATGCAACAATTAAACAATCATCAATTAAACATTCTATCTATCTATCTGTCTGTCTGTCTGTCTGTCTGTCTATCTATCTATTTGTCTGTCTGTCTGTCTGTCTATCTATCTATCTAGGCATCCACCCATAGTTTTGGTGAACTGATGCAGTGGTGTTGTAGTGAGTACTAGTGAGCTGTTGGTTCTAGGGAGTCCTCGGCATGGGTTTTCTCAGTACTTCTCTATTTTCAGGCTATAAGTAGGTCTGCCACAGTGTTTGAGTCAAATACTAACAGTCCTGGTGCCTAATTACTAATACATGTCTTTCTTCAGTTCAAAACAGGACTGAATGTGGCTTGTTGGTAGCCAGCGTTAGGCCGTGTGTTGCTCCCCACCGCTGTCCTGTTTTCTGACCTTTCAAAACGGACCCAAGTCCCACCCCGTCCTCTCACTATAACATCAAAGCTCGGCGTCCTTAAATTAGAGCCACGATGAAGCCGATAAACACTTCAGTTCCTCTACTATTTAATGCATTAACATCTTCTCAAAGAGCTGATCGAATCTGTGTTTTTAAACTAGTAACATGAATTTGATGCATTACATGAAGACAGAGATGAAACCACTTATATACTTATAGACGTGCTATCCTGTTCTACCAAAACAGTAACATCTTGTGTATAAATTAATCATGTTGCATAAGGATGCATAATTAATTTATTCAAGTACTTCTCAAAGCTGGATTGCACTTAGTCATCTTGTTAATAAACTAGATATTTAGATTTATGAAGAACATGTGAAAGGTTTCTTACAAAACTCACTGTGACTTGATGCTGAGGTGGTCAAAGTGTTGCTATGCAGTTGCTAGGTGATTGCTTACAGATCCAAGTCAGTTGTTCAGGACCATAGTTATGGATCGAGTTCCTCCTTCGATGTAAATATATGGGATTTAATACAATTTAACTGGGCAAGAAGACACTTGCTTTGAGGAATTATTCATTTCTGAAGAATAAACACATCACATTACTACAGTAACTCTAGCTATGGTTTAAGCAATAATAATAGTGATACTTGATCTAGTAAGCAGCACTAATTAAGACTACTGGTCAATAAAAGCAAAACCCCTGCTTGCAGCCTTCTCTTTATATTCTTAAAAAGGGGTCATCGGATGCTACATGAACTTTTACAAGTTGTTTGAACTGAAATGTGTGTTGGCAGTGTGTGTACACAACTACCCTATAATGATAAATCCACCCAGTTTTTTTTTTAATCTGGTTAAATGTTTTCCCCTTTCTCAAATCGAGCCGATCTCAGATGCCTGTCTGTGTGACGTCACACAGACAGGCTCCTCCCACGATAGTTTGATTGACAGTAGTGTTTCAGCACAGACTGGACTGACTTCTTA